GTCTTGGATGGGATATGGAGCCCATGATAGGTTCTGGATTAAAAGAGACAAGTTGGATGTAATAATTAAATAGAATGTGCAAGCTCTGGATCTTAGTGTAAATTAGCTGAAATTTAAATGGCGTGAAGGGGACAGGGGAGTTAGCTCAGCAGTCTAAGCACCTGCCTGGCAAGCACAAGGACCCAAATTTGATCCCTGGTACCTCATGCTGTGCTGGCCCTGGAACCCCAGGTGCTCCGTGTCAGCCACCAAAACTGGTGTGGTGGCACACACCTGTAATCCCAATGCTGGGGAGGGTGAGACAGGAGGATCACTACGAGTCTGAGCTGTGTAGTGAGACCCTGTACCAAATAAAAGGCTTTTTTTTTAAAAAAAAATTAAAGGCATCTTCACTGTACAGAGGCACACAAATATGTCAGAAAGAGATATATAAGTCATCCATAAATTATTAGAAAATCCTGCAGCAAAACATCGATTGGAGCAGATACGGAGAATGTTAGCAGTTGTCCCATAGCGGTGATGGGCTTATGCGTCTAGTGTTTCTCACTCTCTTCTCTGTTTGAAAATTTATGTTAGTCACAGTTTGAGATGTTGCATGCCCAGAGAGAGGGTGCCGTGACTTGTCAGTCAGACAGCAGTGTAGATGGTGCCGCCTCTGTGCTGTGGGGGCCCAGCAGGGCCTTCACCCACCGGCCCCACAGCCCGAGGAGCGACGCCCCTGCCCTGCCTAAGGTCTGGTTTGGGGCCCCTGTCTGCATAGTTCCCAAGCGAAGCTGAAAGATATGGAATCCCGCAGCTGGTTATCTTCAACATTTTGTTTCAACCTCAAGTTTTAGAAATAAGCAGTATTTGATGATGACAGTTACCCAAGTCACTTGCTTTCCTTCCACGCTGCACCTTCTCTGACGCAGGAACTGCCCGGGGTGTACCACGTCGTCCTGACCGCCTCGCTCCTGGAGTCCTCACACTGTGCGTGTGTGGACCGGCTCAGCTGGGACCAGCCCTGGCAAAACGCTGTGCCCTTGGGATGTCTTGACACACAAACCCTAGAATAAATTGCCCTCCTATCTCAATGCCAACAACTCCCACGCGCTGGCTGCAGATGGGTCAGAACATGCTGTTGTGTGCTGCTCCACCCGCGTTTAGCACATGTAATCTCTTTTATTACTCTTCTTTTTCACCCAGTTAGTGTCAGTGGTGGCAGATTTAATAGCAAAAGAAGCCCTCCTGCCCCCTTCCCCAGCTGTGAAATGATAGAGCCTCGTGTTTTTTCTTTTAAACGGTGCCCGAATGGGGCATTTCTGACCTTGAACTGCAGTTAAATTAAAGCCTATGTGTCATCATTCTGGAAGCGACCGTCCCGCTCCCGTCCACGGGGCGCCGGAGGTGCTTTGGGCGAGGTTGTGCTGGGTTTGTGGGTGCACCGGACTGGAAGTGCCACTTCCTGCCCTGGCAGCTCAAAAACTGCAGAGATAGGAGAGAGAATTCCTGTGGGAAGTTTTGACAAGTGTGTGCTGTGGACTACAAGCGTGGAGCAGACCCACACGTGAGACAGTGATGGAGGAAGACCCGCATGGCTTCATGGATGACGTGACATGGACTCTGACCCTGCAGGCAGAGGTGACCCTTTGAGAGAGGAAGGGCACAAAGCCACTTCCCTGAGCTGCTCGGGAGTCGGTCCTTCCTAAGGCAAGGGCTGCTGGGCTGCTGCAGGCACGAGTGGAGCGGGCGGCAGAGCCCAGGGTCCTGGTGACTCGAGCATGGCTGCTTTAGGAGCCCAGTCTGACAATGTGGACCGAAAGGGAGACTGCGGGTTGGAGCCACCTGCCAACACAGAGGGGTCAATTGGCAGGTCACAGGAAGTCAACTGCATGAAAGAGAAGGCAAGTGGGCACTTGGATATAGGATAAGAGGGAGGGGCTGTTACCAGGTGTGTGGCAAAGGGGAGGGCCAAGTCGCTTAGGTCCCTAACTACAGGGCCTCTTTGCAAGAGAGCAGCAAAGGTGACGTGAGCTTGCATTGCTCGCTGCTGCCGGAGTCCACACAGTATCTCATGGGACACACTTTGAGGACCTTTGAAGGAAAACTTACCTACCTACCCGTACTTCATTAAGCTTTTACGCCGTTCCTAAAGTCGGTGTCTCAGTTGGGCTGCTTTTACAAAGCACTGTCGTTCTGTGTACAGTGTGGCCCTCAGGATTCCTGGCAGGGGAAGGATGGCAAGAGGATGGAGAAATAAAGATAAGCGACAATATGTAGGACACCGCTGAGGTCAGGGAAAGCCTCTCTGGGTGGCAAGGAAGGAACTGCTCACTCACCACAGGTGTTTATTCGTACGCTGAGGATGCTGAGGGCCTGGGGATGTAGCTTAGTGCTTGCCTGGTAAGTAGCGGGTCCTGAGTTCATGCTGAGTGAAAGGAAACCTTGCAACCAGCTCGCCTCCTGTGCCCTGTCCTCTCGGGCTGGAACACCTGTTGGCGTGGGACCTTCCTGCCCTCGGGGTGTTGCTCAGGCCCTCTGCTCTCCGCCCCCCCACAGGGGGGCATCACCAGCTCAGCCGCTCCCAACACCAGTGGTACTGGGCGGCTCGGCCCACGACACTTTCTTTCTTGGGCTGTGGAGGTTGGAGGGACAGGGTGCCAGCGGCTTTGATGTCTGGTCAGGTCCCTCTTCCTGGTTCACAGAAGCCTGTCACAGGAGGTGGCAGCTTCCTATGGTGGAGAAACACAGCTCTGGTGTCGCTTCTTTTGCTAATCCGCACCCCGGGATCCCATTCTCATGATGTCAGGCAAGTCAGCTTGTCCCCAGGACACCCTCCTAACACCATCCCATCCAGGGTTAGGGCTTCAGCGGACACGTTTTGGGGAGCCACTTGCATGCGTGGCTACACACATCTCCACCCTTGACTGCCCCTTAGTCACCTCTAAGAATCACGAGGAGGATGCCATGGGGAACCCCAGAACCAGAAATGTTACTAGATTTGGGGCTTAGAGCTGAAAATAAGAAAGCACTTCTGTGAAAGGAATCACGGGTTAGGGGAGGAGAAGCCGGAGGGAGGCCCTGGAGGACAGAGTCCTGCAGAAAGCCTGCCGTGCAGGACGGTCAGCGTCGCAGGTGTGACCCGCATAGGCCAGGGGGGGCTGCAGGCAGGTGCGGGCCCCTGCTTTGTGCTCTGTGCAGGGCAGTGCGGCACAGCTGGTGTTGAAGAGAGGCGCACGCTGTCGAGGAGTTTCTGCTGTAAGACATAAAGCTGGAGGGACCTGAGAAACGCCTCAACCTCGCTAATTGTTTAAAAACTTAACATCAGGAGAATTTGTGTCTGTGCATGGTGTGGCTTGTCTTCTTTTTCTTTTCCCCTCCTCTCCCTTCAGCCCTTCTCTATCTGCAAAGCTTTGCTCCCACTTTCTACTCCCACTCTTTTTTCCCTTTGCCCTCCCTCCTCCAGCCCTCCCGTGTTCTCCTTCCCACTTGAACAGTGTTTTCCTGCTCCCCAGTATCTCCCATCCCATTTGGGTCCTGATTGACCCTTTTGGTTCCTCACACAGAGAAACAATGGCATATTTAGAATAAATGCATGTCTCATTTATTTCACTAAAAAGTGTAGTGTCAAAGGTGCTTCCAGTTACCTGAAAAGGTCCAGATCTCTCCTT